ACAGATATATAAATTTTAGAAATAATATGTTCACTTCTCATTTGCAAGGGAAAATGATTAAACTAGTAGAATGTACCATATTAAAACTTAATTTATAGTCATAATCTTTTTCAATATGTATTTTTGGTGAATTTCTTCATAGTGAAGTATTTAAGAATTTTTCTTCGTGTATTTTTGTTTTCGATTCTTTTTTCATTTCTATTAAGTTTTATCTCAAAAGTGAAACAAATGTTATTTTGAGAAATATGTACACATTATATTCAGTTGATTGACACAATAGAAATGTCATCGAAACTCTCTGAAGAAACATGATGCTGAAGATTTTTATTAAATGATCAATTCTATTTTTATATCATAACTTATTCATAAAATGTTTATTATTTTTGATAGATCAAACTTGAATTAAATATACTCATATAAGATTATGATTCAGAAATTTTCTATGTCAATAACAGTTATTATCTTTTATAGCATCACATAAAGTTTTCGTATATTATGATTATTCATGAATGTTATGTGAATTTGTTGTGTAATATCAAGGTAATACAATGTCATGATGTCTCTCTAAATACTTGAAAATACTTAGTTCGTGATAATATATATTTATTTCATCATACAGATAAATAGAAATAGTTTAATTAATGAATAATTTTTTTCTCTATTTATTTATTATAAAATTAAAAATTCATATGAATACTTGTTTCTTTTCAATGAAAATAAAAATATTCATAATAGTAAATTTCTTCGAAAGTTAAATCACATTAAATTCAATTTGTATGTAAATTCATATTAATAAAAAAATCATCTCTATAAAGTATATAATTATCTATAGATGAGAATAAACTTTCAAACTAGTTTTAAATTGTAGCGTCAAAATGCACTGTTATCAATTGCTGACGTCAAACAATGCGCGTGATACTTAAACACTATTTTTGATAACAACTATTTTGGTTATGTTATTTATATAAAGAATATTTAATATTTGATGTTTTCTTCTTTATAGAACTTTCATCCTAAGATTAATTGAGATTACAATTATCATGTCTTAAAATAGCACTGATATTGTTTATTCTTTTATCTACTAATCATTTTCGAATGAGAAAACTAGTCAGTTACTGTTTTATCTTTATTTTTTGGTTATCATATCTATCTCTATTTTGATAAATTTGAATATCGGCCTTTTTAATAAAATTTGCAGATTTCATACCCATGAACTTCTAGTTTTTTGAGATACAAAAAGAATAAAAATATATTCATCTATCTAAATGATAGATTATTTCAATGTTAAGAGAGTCTGATATTGAATAATACTATAAAGATTTAGTAGAATTTTTTCGTTCTTCATGTTTACTGAGGATTAAGCCGTTTAGTTTATATAGATGGTAATACATTATAACATGCGATGCAAAAATGTCAGATACTGTTAAGCTCTATCAACGATTTCTAAACTAATGAAATTGTTTTTTGTTAGAAAGAGCAACATCTGAATTACAGTTTTTGTACCGAATACATTTTTCTCTAACGAATACTCGAAGAAAGAAAAGCTAAATACTTCTTCTAACAATATATTAAAAGTTAAATTTACTCTTGGTTTTGCAACCATAAAAAAAACATTTTTTGATTTAGTTTTTCTGCTAAACATCTATGATCTGACACATTTTGAACAAACAAAGCGCAAAGGATACAGTTCATTTATAATTTCTGAAGATATTGTGATAGAATTTTCCTTCTTCAAAGGTTCGTTTGAGAAAAATATATTCGGTACAAAAGTTGTAATTGAGACTTTACTCTTTCTAAAGACTTTTGCATTACATGTTGATATGTAACAATCGGGTAAAAAAGGTACACGTAGGAAGAGTTATTTCATCATGTCTAACTTCTTATTTATCTTTGTTTTTTTTTCGAATTCTGCTTCTCAATCGACAGTTAAAGTAGAATAGACGAAAAGAAAAGAAAAAAGTACAAAAAAAGTATATGATAAACTACTAACATATATATATGAAAACTTTTCTTGTTTAATTCATTTTTTTAAACATTATTTTATTTATCTAAAATATAATATCATAGTATCCTTTAAAAAATTTCTATCACTTATAATTATATTATTTTATTTGAAAAGATATAATAAAAAAAATAGAAATGAAATTATGAGTCATCTTTAAATATTTATCTTGCTTCTATTGACATCACGCCATACAATATTTCTTCATTTATATCGTCTTTATTTTATCTTATAGCATCTTACATAGGTAACATCATGAAGTCTGTAGAAGAATATCCACCGGAACGACGAACAATTAAAGCTGCTATTGAAGACAATATTGGATCATGTATAATTGCTTTCTTATCATTTTTATCATTAGTATCAGCAATAAGTTGGCCTTATATAAAAATGAATAGACTTTTCTCTGAACATTTACTTGATATGACATCATTCAATGATTATCTTGTTACCAATGTATTTGTATTTACTTCATATACATTACAATATGTTTTAACAGCTGGAGTATTAGAAGTAACAAATCCGCGTGGTTTTACATCAAACTCATTAACTGAAGAACAACGACAACAACGACGAAGACAAATAAGAAAAGAATTAATATTAACAACTAGTGCTATGTTTGGTATGTATAAATAATTATGAATAGAATATAAATTTTTTCTTATATCTTACTTTTAGGTAGTACAACATATGCTGTAGCATGGATGTATTTTATTGAACCATATTTATGGACAACAAATTATTTTGTTACACATCCATATACATTAACATGGTTTATTTCAAATGTTATTGTTTATGGTCTTATCTTTGACTCATGGTTTTATTGGACACATCGTGCCTTACATGAATCAAAATATTTATGGGATCATATTCATACAACTCATCATTCTTTTAAAAGTCCATCAGCTTTTTGTCAAGATGCTGTTCATCCAATAGAAGGTCTTGTACAAGGTATAGAAAATTTTTAATAAGAATATGCGAAATTTTACGTTAGTTTTGTTTTTATAATAAAAAGGTCCAATGGGTCATTATATAATAGCACTTGTGATGCCTGTTCATCCTGTTATTTTAGCACTTTTTGGTTTATTTACTTCATGTTATGCTAGTAAGTTGAGAAATTTTTAATTAATTGAAATTAAAAAATATCTATATAATTAGTTGCTGCTCATGATGGACGTTTCGGAGATTTTAACCATCATTATGCACATCATAGTAAAGGTAATGTTTCTAATTAATAATAAAAATATTTATAGTATTTTTTATTTTTGTTTATATATATAGGCAAAGGTCGTTTACACAATTTTAATTATGGTCTTTATTGGCCACTATGGGATCTAATATGTGGAACTCGTTATCGTGATCGTCCTAATACAAATGATGTCAATCATTCACCGAAGATAAAAGAACGCAAAGGGAAAAAGTTCACATGATTTATTCAATCCCTATTCATCCGTCTGTCTAGTTTTATTGTCTGATCCGATTCGACAATTAATATACATGATCCATATAGACATTACATTGCATGTGAATGTATATATGGTGATCATTGTCAATATCTGTTCTTTTCTATTTTTCTTTTTCATTCAATCCAATTAATTGTAATAACAACAGATGTTCATGATTTTTTTTTGAAAATTTTCTTAATAATTTTGTTTTTTCTTCTTTAATTTCAAGTATGCGATTTATATTTTCTTATACATAATGCAAAAAAAGAATATATGTATGCATATCTCGTACGGAAGTAGAAACAAAGCAGTACTAAAAGAAATGAAGAACAAATAAAGAATTAGTTGTAAAAACAAGACAAAAATGTAGAGCAAAAAAACAACAACAACAACAGCAACAATAATAATAGCATTAGCAATTAGTAAACTAGTTAAAGAAGAATCAAATGATACCTGAGACATGAGTTGAAACAAAAAAATGATTTAACTCTTTTCATCGTTACAAAAAAACAACCGGGTCGTTCATTTCTGTGTTATATAATCGAATACTACAAGTAAGAGCAAACAAATACATAATGTTGATAACAATATAACACTGATTTACTGTTATCAAAAAAAAACTCAGATACAGTAGTAGCAGTTAAAGAGAAAAACACAACATGGCGATATAGAATCTGTTATGTTATTTACAACAATAAACAAAAGCATGAAAAAGGAATGCATACATATATATATGAATATATATACGTATATTTTCTACAACAGAATTTTAAAAAAAATGAGAAGAAAAGAAGAAACCGGTGAGAAAATTCGCTCAGCGGGACTTTAATATAGTTATATATATATGTGTGTTTGACAAAAGAAATAGAGTAATAGCCAACGAAGACAAAAAGAGAAGAAAAACAATCGGGAAGACAAAGACCAAATACAGTAAACGAAGGCAAGCCGGGTATAGAAGAACAATACAAATACTTGACAGACACTGTCTGTTACTCAGTAAGGCAAATAGAATAAAAAAAGAGCTAACAAAAAGTGATATATTATTATTATTATTTTTTTTCTCTTTCAAACAAAACAAAGCCGAAATATCGAAGTTTATTTTCACCTGGATAATCATTAGTTTATTATTTTATCCATCATGAATACCAATTTCCATAGGTGTTCGATCATGTGTAGTTGAAGAATAACATGAACGAAGTGGTGATCCACTTCCGCTACTATGATTTGTATTTGATGCATTAACACCAAATACACTTGATGAAAGAAACCATGAAATACCACGATTTGGTGATGATGTTGTTTGCGTTGGAGAATCACTTAATTGTTGTGGAATATTGATATTTATTGATGATGAAGGTGTTAAACGTGAAGTTAAATTTAATTGAATTTGCAACGAATTTGGTGTTGACGGAGTATTAACAATATTTGGTTGTTGTTGTTTAGATATTTGAGAAAAACTTTGTGATTTTAAACGACGTACAGCTTCTTTTATTAAATTTCCTTCATCAATTAAACGTTGTAATAAACCTGGTAAACGACGTTTTTTTTCGCAATTATGTATATTCGTTGATATATTCATATGATGTTTATGATGATAATGTGAAGAACGATTGGGTATCGATGACTTATGATGTATATTCAATGATTTCCATGCACCTGTTGTTGCTGTTGTTGATGATGATGATGATGATGATGATGATGATGAACCATCCAATGCTGTAGAAGTAACATCTGCAATATTATGTAAAGGTTCAATACTACTCGATTGTAAACGTTTTAAATTTGTTGTTGTTGTTGATACTGGTGACTGTGATGCTTGTTGTGGAAGTGCGAAATGTCGTCGACACCCCGAACGAAATCGTAGTATTTCAGTTAATTTGTCCTATTTTGTAATATAAGAATAAATATACAAAAATAAATTCTTTATTGATTACCAATAATAAATTTAATTCAGGTGTTGATGTTGATGATTCACTTCCAGTTTCAATATCATTCGACATGTTTGTTGATTGTGGTGATGATGATGATGATGATGAATGAGTATCAATGGAAACATTTGCTACTGTTGATGGAACATAAGATGTACGACCGATAGAGCACATTGGTAATGTATATGAATGTTCTTGCATTTAGTTGTCAATTCAAGACTAGAAATATTCTTATTAATTAGAAGAATTTGATCAACCAGAGAATGGAAAAAGCAGGACAAGTGCGAACTGATGATCAGTCGTCACTGCCTGTAGACATTGATTTGATATATTTTGTTAATATCTAAAAAATGAATGTAAAGAATAGACATTAACACAAAAAAAAGGAAACAAAGATGAGTCAGAATTAGATTGATTGGACAGTAAAAACGACAACGACAACAACGACATTTTGTCACCGGTCGGCAGCAAAAGCAGTACTAAACGGAAAGAAGAAGATGTCGAAGAAGACAAGAATAATCATAGCGAAAGGGGGCGCAACTCGGCATGACATAAAACAAATTTTTTTCTGCTTTATTTCTAATAAAAATAACCATATTTATTACGAGAAAGACGAGAAGATTATGTGATCAATAAATAAACAAGACAACTTTTTATAAGCTATTTTTAATAGGACACAGTAATAAAATAATAAAACACCGAAAAAGACGAAAGTCAAAAATATATCTTAAATCATTACTCTGATAGCTGTGAATATCGAAGTATATAAATAATCTCAATTGAGGATAGAGAAATTTATATGTGCGTGTATGCACTCACGAAATCAATTTGACAACTTTACTACGCACAACTCACACCATTAATTCTTCGTTTTCTTTCTTCTCTGTCTTTCTCTCTCTCTCTCTTACTCATTCTATTTATATATTCATTCGTGGTAATATAGTCGTTGCCGTCATTGCCGCTGCGGCATGTCTTTGTATGCCTGAAAACATTGCGAACGCATGCACACTTCTCACTACTGAAACAATCAAAGCTGACGAACGAGGGAGCAAACCAATTTCTAATAACAAAAAAACGTCAAGTATATGATAGAGAAAAGGAGTAAGAGAAAACGAGCGTTATATCAAGTATAATAGAGAAACGAACAAACAATAGATTTAACCGTAAAGATCATTGACAAAGCGTCAAAGAAATATCTATTGCATCAAGTATATTTATAGATACGTTTGACAAGATGAATGTCTTCAATATATACACACCGCTTCTAATCATAACT